CGGGTCAGAAGATCCCCGAGCAGCCCTTCTCGGCGGCGCGCCCAGGAGGGAAGCGAGAGGGGGCGGGCCATTTCAGAAGGCTCGGAAGTTCCCCGGCCTTCCGCGAAGGCACATCAAATTTTTCAGAAGGCTGGAGGCGATGGCTTCCGAGAAGCGCCGCTGCCTGGTTAGAAGGCCTTCTCCTTCTCATTTCCCCCCTCGCTCGCCGCCGACCTTCAGGGGCATCGACAGGGGGGATAGGCTAAGGGGAGGGGATGTATCGACCCCCAGTCGCCCATGGATCGCCGATGGGGGCCCGTTGGCCCGATCGCAGATTCGCCCTCTGGGCCTCAGCCGATCTGTCGGCGATGCATCGCTGATTCCAGGTCGATGTCTCCCTGTGCCCAGTCCCCCCGCTGTCGTTGCCCCTCACCGGGGGGGGCGGTCCTGGCAGCCCTGAGATCCTGGCGTTGCATTTCGTGTCGCAGCGCAGCTCGATCGGGCTCGAAGGATGACGCAGACAGACAGGGTCATGTCCCAGAGGGTTCCAAAGGGAGTCTTTGGCGAGGGGGTTTTCCACAGAGCCCCCCAGGGGCCTGGGAGCCTCGTCAAAACAGGGGGTGCGAAGCCCCTGGGGGACCCCTCCTGGAAAACCCCCTCCCCAAGAACCCCCTTTGGAACCCTCTGGATGTTGCACCCATGCTCGCTCCTGTCGCAACGTCGGATCCCACGGAATGCAGTGGGGTGTCACTGGGGCCACGACCAGCGGGGTCGCCCGCCGCTCCTGGGAACAAGCAGTGGCTCCAGGCTCAAAAAGCTCGAGGAGGTTTTTGCCGGCCAGGGCCAGGACTAAATCGGGCCTGTCCCTCTGCAGGAAAAAATTCAGAAATAATCAAGAAATAGTCGGGAACCGTTTTTTTGTATCATTTTACCATTTCGAAATATTTTTTGAGTGTTTTTCCCCAATCAGAGCTTGCCTCTGCAGGGGTCCTAGCGGATTAAAGGGTTAGGTGAGGTTGGTCGCCGATTTCGGTGGCCAGGCCCGGGTGCCCGGGTGCCCGGGTGCCCGGCGGTGCCCGGGTGCCCGGGTGGCCAGTGAGGTGCGTGGCCGATTTCGGTGGCCGGGCCTGGGTGCCCGGGTGCCCGGGGGCCCGGGGGTGCCCGGGTGCCCGGGGGTGCCCAATAGCCCAGTAGCCTTATAGCCCTATAGCCCTATAGCCCTATAGCCGTATAGCCCTATAGCCCTGTAGCCCTATAGCCTTATATCCCTATAGCCATAATCGCCTTATATCCCTATAGCCCTATAGCCCCATAGCCCATATAGCTCTATAGCCCCATAGCCCTATAGCCCTATGGCCCTATAGGTCACAGTCCTATAGCCCTATAGCCCAGCCCGATAGCCCTATAGCCCTATAGCCCGATAGCCCTATAGCCCTATAGCCCGATAGCCCTATAGCCCTATAGCCCTATAGCACTAAAACATCGGATTGGATTTTTTCTCCGGTATAATTTATTTTTCATCTAAAATGCCCCTGTAGGAGGACAGGCCCGACTTAAGGCCAGGACTAGGATACATTTGTTTCAGAGCGGTCAACAAATAGCATGGGGACGATTTTTAACAAGTATTTTCGGACCATTTCTTCTTCTTCTTCTTCTTCTTCTTATTATTATTATTATTATTATTATTAATATTATTATGATTATGATTATTATTATTATTATTATGTTTATTATTATTATTATTATTATTATTATTATCATTATTATCATTATTATTATTATCATTATTACTATTATAATAATAATTAACATATCGATATCTCTATATATATATATATATATATATATATATAACATAAGTTTTGCCCAACATCCCCCTGTCGGAGGACAGGCCCGACTTAAAATCCTGTCTCTCTTTCGACTTTTTGGCTATTTTCTATTTTCTGTTTTGGGGGGGGGCAATTTTCCATCCTTCGTCCCAAAATCCCCTGTCGGAGGACAGGCCCGACTTACAATCCCACCTCTTGGGGGCCCCCCTCCTCGAGGCGGCGGCGCCTCCTCGAGGCGGCGGCGCGGCCTCCCCCCTCGGCGGCCCCCCGCGGCCTCGGCCCCCCTGGGGGCGGATCGGGGCGGCCGGCCCCCAGCCCAGGGGGCCCAGACCCCCTCGGGCAATGAAAAAAATCGGACGGAGGAAATCAGGGCAATGAAAAAAATCAGGACGGAAATAAATCATGGCGGAAGGTTTTCCTTCATTTTCGGCCTCCAGAGGCCCTCACCAGGCCTCCGGAGCGTCAAGAAACGACTCAGGATGCAAAGCCGGTCATGGGGAAGGGGTCGGGACTTCTGGGGGTCGACGTGGTGAGAAAATCGTTACCTCGCGGGTCTGGGGGAGCAGTGCCCTGGAGCAGGGGATCGACTGCAGGATTGATCCGCCCTCAGGATAGATTTTCTCGTCGAGGCCATGAACGCCACGTTGAGCGCGACGTAGGTCTCTACGAACACTCTGCGCGGTCATCTCGTGGACTCCACGAGGTAGTCAGTTTTGGGGCACGTCGATTCTGTAGCCGGCCCCCAGTCCAGCGGGAGCAGTTCCCTGAGCAGGGGATCGACTACAGGATTGATCTGCCCCCAGGATTGATGCTCTCGTCGAGTGAACTCAGTGGGCCCTGGGAACGACGGGGCCGTCTTTTTTACCGATCCCGTGCTGCCGTGTTTTTGCCGGTTCCGACGCCGTTGTTTTACCGGTTCCGTCGCCGTTTTTTGGCCGATTACGGCTCCGGTTCCAATCCTGGAGCCGTTTTTTTTGCCGTTTCCGGTCGCCGTGTTTTTGCCTTTTCCATTTAAAAATCGGCCCTGCCGTTCCCGGGGCCCACAAAGGCCATGAACACCACGTTGAGCGCGACGTAGGTCTACGAACACTCTGCGCGGTCATCTCGTGGACTCCACGAGGTAGTCAATTTTGGGGTACGCCGATTCTGTAGTCGCTCCCCTACTCGAATTCCAGGCGGAGGCGGTTCCATCTGGAGGGCCACCGTCGAGGAAGGCGCAAGGACACATGTCGGACCGAGGTGCAAGATCGAGGTCGGTCCCGGGGAGGGCAGCCTGATGCTCTTCGCGTCTGCTGGGTGTTCCTGTGAATCCCGGGGAGGGCACCCTTGGATGTTCTGTCTGTCTTGGCCAGCGGAGGGCCTCATGTTCTTGGCAGGGCTGGACCTAAACGGTGCTTTGGCGATTTCGTGGGCCGTCTTCGTTTCGACTTCCTTTTGCGGAGAAGGTGGATTGAAGACACAACGAGTGAAAACGAGGACAAAACGAAAACGACAAACACCGTTTAGGTTCAGCCCTGGCTCTCGGGGGCTGTCTTTCCTGTCCTGGCGCTCGGCCCCGGGGGAGGCGAGAGGGGGCGGCCCTGTTCAGGAGGCTCGGAAGCTCCCTGGGTCTTCCGAGAAGTGTTCCGAGCCCTCCCCGAAGACACACACACACCACACACACACACACACGCAGACACGCAGACACGCACACACAGACACACACACACACACAGACACGCACCGAACAGTTCTCGGAAGGCCAAGAGGGCTTCTGAGAAGCCCCGCCGCCTTCAGAGAGGGCCTGCTCCTTCTCACTGTAACAAGCATGTTCCGTAGATCAGCGGAGCGTTCTACGCAGTTGTTTGTAGATTCGACGGACAAATCAATTCGAGTAGGGGCTCGGCTGCAGAATTGATTCACCCCATAATCGTTTCCCTTTTTGTTCCCGCCAGATATGCGAAACATGTGTAACAGACATGCTCCGTAGCGTAGGTCAGCGGAGCGTTCTACGCATCTGTTTGCAGCTCCCACGGACAGACCAATTTTGGCAGGCGTCGATGTCGCAGTCGATCCTCTCGAAGTCTGTGCAGGTTTTCGCTTCCTCTGGGTCCCCCAGGCCCCAGCTGGGAGACCTACCTGCACCTTGGCCGACGCCTGGAGGCGTGGAGACAGGCCACCCCGCTCGGCGACGACGAGCCTCCACCCGCGATCGACCGAGGCCGCTCCTCGCTCGACGCTCCTCGAGGCCGCTCCTCGGGCGACCGCCGATCGAGGACCCCACTCGGGAGGCCTACGCCCTGGCACTGCCTGGGAGGAGGGGCCCCCCGCGCGCGCGGCGAGGCCGCAGAGGACGCCGCCGCCGCCGCGGCCGCCGCCGCCGCCGCCGCCGCCGCCGCCGTCGCCGCCGCCGCCGCCGCCGCCGTCGTCGTCGTCGTCGTCGTCGTCGTCGTCGTCGTCGTCGTCGTCGTCGTCGTCGTCGTCGTCGACGCCGTTGCGCTGCCTGGGAGGGGCCCCGCCGCGCGGCGAGGTCAGCGCCCGCGCCCACCCCGAGCGCCCCGCCGGCGGCGGCGACGCCGAGGGCGCGGCCGCCCGGGTCGCCGCGGGGGACAGTCCTGCGCGCCCTCCCACAGTCCCCTCGCCCTCAACCCCCCTCCCTGTCCTCCTTCCTCCGCCTCCACCTGCACCTCCTCCTCGCCCTTTATCCTCTCCCCCTCTTTTCCCCGCCCCTCCGCCCCTCCTCCCCCTTCTCCCTCCAATGCCTCCTCCGCCACCTCCTTCTCCTCCTTTACCTCCTCCACCTCCTTCACACCTCGTCCTCCCATCTACACCACCTCCTCCACCTCCTCCACCCCCGCGACCTCCACCTCCTCCACCATCTCCTCATCTCCTCATCTCCTCATCTCTCCTCCTCCTCCTCCTCCTCCTCCTCCTCCTCCTCCTCCTACACCTCCGCCTCCGCCTCCGCCTCCGCCTCCGCCTCCGCCTCCGCCTCCGCCTCCCCCCCCCCTCCTCCTCCCCCTCCCCCTCCTCCCCTCCTCCTCCTCCTCCTCCTCCTCCTCCTCCTCCTCCTCCTCCTCCTCCTCCTCCTCCTCCTCCTCCTCCTCCTCCTCCTCCTCCTCCTCCTCCTCCTCCTCCTCCCCCCCCCCATGCCCGCCCTGCCTCCATCCTGTTTTCCTCCCTCCCTCGAGGTGGCGCGCGCGCTGGAGGCCCTCGCGCCGCTGCCCGCGGACCTGCGGGCCGAGGCTGGCCGTCGGCTGCCGCCGCCGCCGCGGTGGTCGCTGCAGCCGCCGCGGCACGCGGTCTCCGCAGTCCAGCCGCGAACAGCTGCACGCCCGCTCCTTGTATGCCCTGCGATCCCCAGACGTTCGCGCCGCAAAGCGGAGGGTTTTCGTAGTCTTCGACCCACCGGGGCCCGTGCCAGGCCCCAGGGCCCTCTCCAGGGAAGGGTCGGGACCTCGGGGACCCCAGATCGAAAACATCCGGACATGCCATGTCTATACCCTGAGATTTGGGCGTTGCAGTTTCTCACACCGGGCGTTCTCACCCGCTTCGGGCCCCAGGGCCATCACAGATCGATCCGGCTCGGAACATGCAGCAGAAAGATGGGGTCTATCGGACGGGGCTAGGACGAGGATAGATCCGTTCCAGATCGTTCCCGAACGCTCTGAGAGCGTTCGGGAACGTTCTGAGAAGGCCGCGGCGCCCGATACATCCTCCAGAGCTGCCAGATCTCAGAGATTCTTGATTCGTCCTCGCCCGATTCTATTCCACGTCCTGGCTTCGCCCTGGCCTAGGGCCCCAGCCGTGATTTTCCACGTCCTTTTCCGCAACGTATTGGGGCTGGGGCCATCCGGGAGGCTTGGGCCGTCGTGGGCCAATCCTGGAGGCCTCCTGCGGGCCCTCCTGGCGCGTCGCGAGGCCCGAGGACGGGCGCCGCAGGCGCCGCGTGCACGAGACGTCGCGCGCCCTCCACGGCGACTTCCAGAGGGTGTGGTTCCGCCAGGGTGTGCTTTGCGGTCGGCGCCGATGGGGCCTCCTGGGGGGGGCGCGACGCGCCGCCCTCGTCGGGCCTCCTCGGGGCGCGGCGGGCAACGCTGCCGAGGCCCCCGCCCGCCCACCGGGGCGCGCCCCCCCCCCCCCCCCCTGGTGCGGGCTGCAGACCCCGCCCTCTGCCCTCTGCAGACCACACCCTTCGGCGTCGCCGGCCCTCCTCTCTCCTCTCCTCCGCGGTGCGACGCCCTCGATCGGTTCGGCCCCGGCGTGCCGTGGCCGCCCACCCTGCAGCCCCGGGCCTGCGTTCGCAAACGCGTGCGAGGGCGTGGATGCGGGACGTGCTTCCTCTCGATGGCTCAACGCGTAAGTCGGGCCTGCCCCTCTACAGGGGGAATACTCACGAATAGCAAAAGAGAGTCGGGGGACGATGCTTCTATTCTCTTTTGACCATTTCGGGATACGTTTTTTGACTATTTGTTTTCCATTCTTCGTCGAAAATCCGCCTGTATGGGGACATGCCCGACCCAACCTCAGACCGACTGCCTGACGGCCCACCGCCCGACGGCCCGACGACCGACCGACTGGCCGACCGACCGATCGGCCGCCCCGACCGCCCGACGGCCGATCGCCCGATGGCCGGCCGACCGACCGGCCGCCCGACGGCCGGCCAGCCGACGACGGGCGGCCCGACGGCCCAGCGACCGACCGCCCGAGGGCCCGACCTGCCATCGGCCACGTGCAGACCCAGACCCCCTCGAGTCATGAAGAAATCACGACGGGAAGTTTTTCGCTATTTTCGGCCTCCAGGGGCCCTTACCGGCCCTCAGGACCGTCAGAGAGCGACTCGGGAGGAGAAACTGGTCCCGGGAAATGGGTCTGGAGCTCTGGGGGTCGCGTCATGAAAAAATCATGACGTCGGGGGTCTGGGGAGGGGTGTCAGGGCAAGCTCGGTGCGCTCGCGTCACATCTGACGTTCTACCCCCCCCCCCTCCCATCCCTTGCTCACCGAGCGCGTTCCACCACTTGCAAAGTGCCTACTCGCAGGCGTCCCAGCAACGCATGTCCGTGTCGATGTGATTTGTCGTAGATTCCCCGCGGCGAATCCAGGCCATTTGGCGAGTAGCTGCTTTGCGAGTAGTGGAACGCGCTCGTCTACGTACCATGGCGCAGATCCTCTCTCCGTTCGCACTGTCGGATGTCGCAGGATGGCACAGCGTTGCATGGCACAGCGTGGCATAACATGGGGGAGGGGGGGAGGCTTCTTAGAGACACCCCTGCTTCTCAGGAGCCGTCCCCCCTCCCCTGGCGCCCCTCTGCGCGCCGCCGACAAAAGGCCTCGGGTGAGTGTTCTGGGGCGGCGCCGTCTGGAAGTCCCAGATCAGCGGCGGTGCACCGTGCTGTTCCGCCCCCGTCCCTTGGAACCCCCGCCGTGCGCGCCGCCAACGAAGGCCCGACCCACCAGCCTGCCGGCCGAGCGGTCGGTCCAGCTCTGGGCGCCCGAAATGGGTGCGGAAAGAATGGGTACAATGCCCAACAGCAGTTCCTGCTCATTCTGAACAGGACTCGCTGTCCACGCCGCCGCGGCCTGTGGCCACTCGAGGCAGGAGGCCGTCTGCCCAACAGCGGCCGCTGTTGGTCTGGGACAACATTTGCTGTTGGGCATTGTACCCCTTCTTTCCGTTCCCATTTCGGGCGTCCAAATAGGCCGGACGTTGGGTCCGAATCCTATGTGTTTCGCATCGGTTCCCGGGGGGTCTTCAACCCTGGGGGGGAGGGTCGCAGAACCCATTCTGTTTCTAGAACGGAGAATCGATGTGGTACCCTATGCACACGTTTGTGTATGTTTGTGCGGGCGTTTCATTCTTTCCGTTCCCCTTCTTTCCGTTCCCATTTCGGGCGCTCAGACAAGCGGCCAGCCTCCTCTTCCTCCTCCTCCTCGTCGTCCTCCTCCTCCTCCCCAGACCCGTTCTTTCCGTTCCCATTTCGGGCGCTCAGACAAGCGGCCAGCCTCCTCCTCCTCCTCCTCCTCCTCCTCCTCCTTCCCAGGCCCGTTCTTTCCGTTCCCACTTCGGGCGCTCAGACAAGCGGCCAGCCCGGCCCGCCAGGCGCGGCTGCTGGCCGCGCGGCTGCCGGGGGCAGCCCCCGCCGAGCCCGCCGCGCTGCCGGCGGAGGGCGGCGCAGCGGGGCCGCCGCGGCCTTTCCAAAAAGAGGGCCGCCCTCGGGGGCGAGGAGGAGGAGGAGGAGGAGGAGAAGGAGGAGGAGGAGGAGGAGCAGGAGGAGGAGGAGGAGGAGGAGGAGACGTAATATTATTGTTATTATTATTATTATTATTTTTACTATTACTATTACTATTACTATTAGTATTACTATCACTATCACTATTGCTATTACTATTACTATCACTATCACTATCACTATTACTATTACAACTACAATTACAATTACAATTACTATTACTATTACTACTACTATTACTATTACTATTACTATTACTATTACTATTACTATTACTATTACTATTACTATTACTATTCCTATTCCTATTCCTATTCCTATTCCTATTCCTATTCCTATTCCTATTCCTATTCCTATTCCTATTCCTATTCCTATTCCTATTATTATTACTATTACTATTATTATTACTATTACTATTACTAGTACTATTACTATTACTATTACTATTACTATCACTATTACTATTACTATTACTATTACTATTACTCTTACTATTACTATTACTAGTACTATTACTATTACTATTACTATTACTATTACTATTACTATTACTATTACTATTACTACTACTACTACTATTTCCATTACTATTACTATTACTATTACTATTACTATTACTATTACTATTACTATTACTATTACTATTACTATTACTATTACTATTACCATAATACTAATACTAATACTAATTCTATTACAATTACTATTACTATTATTATTATTATTATCACTACTACTATTACTATTACTATTACTATTACTATTACTAGTACTAGTACTAGTACTACTACTATTACTATTACTATTACTAATACTATTACTATTACTATTACTATGACTATTACTATTACTATTACTATTCCTAGTCCTAGTCCTATTACTATTACTATTACTATGACTATTACTATTACTATTACTATTACTATTATTATTACTATTACTATTACTATTACTATTACTATTACTATTACTATTACTATTACTATTACTATTACTATTACTATTACTATTACTATCACTATCACTATTACTGTTATTATTACTTTCACTTTTACTATTACTAGTACTCTTACTATTACTATTACTTTTACTATTACTAGTATTATACGCATTACTATTGCTACTACTACTACTACTACTACTACTACTAGTGGTAGTAGTAGTAGTAGTAGTAGTAGTAGTAGTAGTAGTAGTAGTAGTAGTAGTAGTACTAGTACTACTACTAATAGCACTAGTGCTACTACTACTACTACTACTACTACTACTGCGACTACTACTAATACGACTACCACTACTACTACTATTAGTAGTAGTAGTAGTACTACTACTACTACTGCTGCTACTACTACTAGTACTAGTGCTACTACTACTATTACTACGACCACTACGACTGATGCAGTTACTATTCATACTAGTAATGAACTAATATTATTATGAATGGGACGCATTAGCATAATAACACTACTACTATAAAGAACAATCGCAGCCCGAATTCGAATATAATGATCATGATCAGAGTATTCAGAATCATGCGACTATCTCTATGAATCAGACGAATCATCCAAAGACGAAGACTCATACGAACAATTCAACAACAACGAGTACTACTGATGACAACATGCCGATTACTAATGATATTACGAAGAATCAGCATATCAAGACTATGACCAATACGAGGATCAGTATTACTTCTACTACTTCTACTACTAGTACGACTACTACTACTACGACTACGACTACTACTATTACCATTACCTTTACTACTACTATGAATATTATTACTGCTGCTACTACTACTACTACTACGACTAGTAACCATCATAATACATGTGATACTACGAGTACAAATGGTAGGTATACTACGATTCGTACGACTACGACTGATACTACTACTAGTAATGGGGTTAATGAGAAGAGCCGTATCATTATTATTAATACACATGGCAGTAACGCGGATAATACGGCAACACATATGAACATCA